GTACAGAAATAACCTTCAGTTTAAAACAAAAAGCTTTCAAAATATCAAAATTAAATGCAGAAGTCTATTACTGTTATTTTTTATCACAGATATATCATTGTTTAACTGCACATTTCATCGTATGAGTGATGCTTCAGTTGTTTGCCTATGCTGTTAATGTATGAATCATCACAGCGGTTGCCCACATGCAGGATGGTCTTCAGTACTTGACACAAGTGCTGGGGAAATCAGAATGTCATTGACATTTCAAAATTATCTCTATTAGGGCTTATTAGCTCTTCTAGTGGGTGTATTTTTGTGTGGCTAGAACTTGTACTGCTCTGTACATATGTTGAACACATACAAGGAGGTTATTGTTATAACTTGATTGCAAATAAAACATGTATTTGTTGTGTTTGTATTGTAGGCTGTTGTGTTAACTTTTGTATATAAATGTGTGTCTTTTATTAGTGAACTAGGGTTTTCCAGTTTTTACATTTAGTAATTTGAGGTTAAAGTTGAGAGTATAAACTTTATTCTTCTTTTGCCTTCTATACCCCAATGGAGTATAGTACCTCTCAACCAGCTCGCACTAAGTCTATCCTTTGCTATTGCATGCAGCTTACCCCTTCTTCCCCCCCCCCCCCCCAGCTTTTTACATTCTCTAGCTCCCTTCTCCATGTTTTTTTTTAGTTTACTTTTATTTCTTTGCCTCTGTGGGTTCCATTGTAAAAACTTTCGTTATATTTTTCTAAGATTTTCTTAGTAGTGTCCTGTTTAACACCAGTGTCTTTTGTTCACTTCTTGGTCCACTGGAACTTGTTTAGTTCTTTCCCAAAGCTCAGCATTAGTGATTCTATTCTATCATACCATTTAATTTCCTCTATTCTTCACATGCACCAGTTAATGAATTTTGTAGATGAATGTTTGTAGTTTATTAATAACTAGCTGTACCCGGCCACACGTTGCTGTGGCCCAAAATGGTGAAATGGAAAAGAAAGAAAATAGCTCTCAGCCTACAGTGTCTGTCATACCCCCCCCCCCCTCCTCTCGACCCAGTCGTATAATCCCTCTCTGAAGAACTGAAAAATCATCCATGGCGAAATTATTAAAATATAAATAGTTAAGAAAAAATGAGAACTTAAAAATAACGCTGTAAGCTCTCTCAGTTAACTGTCTGGCATTATCCCCCCCCCCCCCCCCCCAGCATATCTCCCTCTCTAAAGGATTGAAAAATCATCACCTAGCAAAATTATTAAAATAAAAATAGTTAAGAAATTAGAACTTTAAAATAATGTTTTAAGCTCTCTCAGTTAACAGTGTCTGGCATCACCCCCCCCCCCCCCACTAATCATATCATCCTCCCCGAAGGATGGGAAAGTAATCATCTGACGAAATATTGTAACTAAATTGAGCTTGGCATCCGTGTCCACCCAGACTAAAATGGGTAGCATTAATTTGTACTGAGAAGTAAATGTGGCCAGTGTAACAGCTACCACATCACCCATCCAGTACTAGTACTACTGCTACCACTACCACCACCACCATCACAACAACAAAAACTGTCACTACAGTCTGTGTAGGTCGGTGTAGCCAGAGGAGTTAGTGCCGCATGCTGTCACCACAGACTGTTTAGTTTAATTTTGACCCCGACATAGGAAAAAAAAAACTTTATCACCAGTGATGGAACCCACAGTAAAAAGTACACTATACTAACAAATATTGGGGAAAAATACCCAGCACCCGTCATCTTTCCTTCTCCGAAGGGACGATTTTTAATTGAGCTTGGCATCCGTGTCACCGCAAACTAAACTGGACTGTAAGCCGTCTTAGTTAACAGTTTCTGTCATCGCCGAATAGTTTTTGATCAAGTGAAGCGTCACGGAGAGGCTAATTGGGACTTTACTGAAATGGGATGTCTTTGGGCGAAAGGCGCAGATATCGCAGCCTAGATGTAAACCACAACACAACGTGGCAACCACCCTTTTAAGGGAAAAAGAACAATTATCACCCAGTGGGGAATCGAACACCAGTCACCCGCGTGAAGGGTGGAATTCTTACAACTATACTACCGAACGCTTAAGAGTTTGGGTCAGATAGATCAATCAAGACAGTTGAACTCTGCCACCAATTGAAATGCACAATAGTATTTTTTTTTTTAAACGAAATACAAAACGCAATGGGGAAAAACAAAGTATTAATTTTAATTTCTTTTGACCTTTACAAATTGCCTATTTTTTATTTGAATTTGTCAGTCCCCCCACCTGTATCTTCATTACTGGCCAAATAGGCAAATGACTTTACAGCTTGGAGTGGGATACCATTAAGAGAAACCGCAGGCGAAAAAAGCCATCCCTGTCACACACCTGTTCTTATTTCAAACATATGTTAGATTTCACTCATGAAAAACTCAACATTTAATCCCAAATGGCTCAGTTTGTCTCTCTACAGAACATCCAGACACCCCCTAAAAGCATCACACAGAGCTTGAACACAGTAGCTCCAGTGGTGATAGCCAGGGATATTCTTGAAGACTGACCCATGAACTGCGTGACATGTCCGTGCCGAGCGAGGCAAATAGTTTGACCACTTTGTCATTGACATCCACATTAATATAAAGATTTGAGAGTAGCGATGACAGTCATCAGCCGGGACAGATGTAACCAGACAGAGTAAGAATTGTTAAAAGGGGACATTTACAGATATATACTTACATACACTGTTTGAAAGGAATAGATAGTGATAAATATAACCATTTAAAGCTGGATGGTTGGGGGGGGGGTGGTATGCACAAAAACATGTTGCAGCCAGATACTTGTATAGATGAACACAGCCCTGCATTGAGACATACAGGATTGGCTTGCCAAATACAACCTTTTGCAAATCAAATTCATTTTTTTTTTTTTTTGCAAACCAGTTTCATCCTTTTGCAAATCAGATAAACTTCTGTAAATCAAGTTTAACCATTTGCAAATCAGGTTCAGCTTTTCAGCCATTAAGTCCATTCCTGCTTTGACTAAATGTATTCAGGTTGACTTCTGTTGTTCCCTGTCTGCCTAGGACGTCAGGTTACACAAGAGTAGTATTCATATAGCTGTTACATATGTCCTATTTATAACTTATTAGGGGGTTGAATGGCAGTTTGTCCTGTTGGATTCACATTCAAGACGTGGCTCTTTTAGTCAGGATTGTAAAAGCTGGAGGTAAAAAAAAACAAAGTCATTTACTTCTGAAGGCTTTCAAAGGTGTAGCAGCAGAACAACTTACACACTTCTTCTTATTCTTTCTTTTTCTTCTTAATCAACTTACCAAGCTTTTGGAGTTCATTGCTGCAGATATCACATGTCCCCATACCTCTCTGTGACGGCCTTCTTTTTCCAGATTAATAACTTCAAGCATCACTACCTGCCTGTATATGAATTATCTCTCCACGGTCTTCTTGGTCTGCCATGTGGTCTGATCCCTTCTAACTTGCTTGTACAGTTTTTGCACACTGAATTATAATATTCACTCTTGGAATTAGAGGAGTCACAAAGAAATGTGCTGATGAGTCACCTCTGGAAACTAACACATTATCTCCCTATATTTTACATCACTCCTCTGGAATAGGGTGGTTCACACTTGCTTCCATAAGTTTTTTATATGTGGATGAAAAGTGTAGGCACAGCTATATGGTTTCTGAAATGAATTTGAGGTATACCTTGTAGAGCAGCCATAGTAAATAGTTTATGGAAAGAATAGATAGCACTGTTTATATCCTGGCATATTTCGCTGTATCTTGCTAGGTGCTTACTACAGTAATATATGGTGATGGATAATGATCGCCAGGATCAAGGTCAACAGAGAATTCACACAGAACTTTAAAGATTTCTGCACATTTTAAGATGCCACACGTGTATATCCTTTAATTACCTCTTTTATAATGATAATTTTAAATCCTGGCAGTTCATTTTAATGACCCTGTAATTGAATAAAATTAAGCAAATAAATGAAGTCATTTCAACTGAAATACACAATCAGCCACACTGAAAAGTAATTGCCTGTTTTACTGTGACAAATGCAGGTTCACCACCCTATCTTTTTGTCTTCACAAATCTGGCTGGAATTGATTTATTTTGGTAGCTTCAATGGAGCATAAAAGCCTGCAACTAATTGGGTTGGCATGAAACATTGCTTTGATAGTAAGCAATGATTGCTTCTAAAAAAAAACCCATAAAAGTATGAAAAAAAAACCGTATACTTTGTTTTAAAAAAAAAGTCGTTTTGTTTACAGGCATTTTTAGAAGAAAAAAGTGGGGGGAGGACACTTTTGATGAGAAGAGAGATATTGGAGAGCATTTTGACTTCTAGAAAGATGAATCATAGATGAGACAGGCAGACACAGCAAGATGATGTGGAATGATCTAAGAGAGTTCCATGGAAGAATATAATTAAATAGAATTGATTCAAAACACCAAGGACAAACAAACTTTTGTTGGAACACATAATTGCCACTGCCACTGATGATGATTGATGATTCCTGTGCATAGAGTGGCTTGCATCGCTTGATAAGATTAGGAGCACATCATATATTTTATGTCCAGTACATTCTGGTGTGTGGTGTAATTAGCATGCTGATAAATTGGCTGCTGCAGCTCATCCGGGCAGTGAGCTACTGTATAAAAAAGTGGACATGGTGAAGGCTTTCTGGGACTGGACAGTGCAACAGAACAGACACAGCCTCGAAAGACTGATTCAGCGGGGAGCATGAAGAGGTACTGGGTGGCTTTCAACGCGCAGTGGAAAAGACTTTTGATCAGATTACAACTGGCAGCATCAGTACAGGAACTTTTTGCTAGCTAGTGAGGCGTAGAGGACATGTAGGAATGCCAAGAGTACAGTGGTGATGCCAGTTTTAGATTAATTTATTCATATGATGAGGATTATGATCATGAGAACGTGTTTCTGTGTTGTTTCGGTAGCTAGCCTGCTTTTTTTTTTTTGTATATGATTATTTGCATGTTGTAAAATATTTATTTCAGACTGCCCTGGAGGTTATTTTGGCTGGCACTGTAAGTTAAAATGTGAAAACTGTGAAGGGGAAGAATGCGACCAAGACACAGGCAAATGCTTAACTGCATGCAAGAATGGATTCTATGGACATCATTGCCTGTTTGGTAAGACACCCTGGGACTTTTGAAAGAAACGTCTATTGAATCATCTAGTTTTTAAATGAATATCTTTTGATTTATTTCGTTTTTAAATAAATATTTGTAGAATAAAAAAAAACATCTTAAGATTTATCTGGTTTTCGAATAAATATTTTCAAATAAATAAACAGATAAATGTAGATTTATTTATTTTTAAAAATAAATATCTATAGATTTATTTAGTTTTGAAATAAGATTTATGTTGAAACTTTAGGTTTTTAAACAAATATTTGTAAACATATTTGATTTTAGAATGCTAGTCACCTCACCACCTTGATGGGCTATGATTCCTTTGCTTCTCTTTCTTCTTCTTCTTCTGCCTTTGTAACCCTCGATGGAGCATAGGCCCTCAACCAACTCATGCCAAGTTGCTCTGTCCTTTGCTATCGCATGCAGCTCTCCCCATGTCCTCCCCATCCACCTAACCTCGCACTCCATCTCCCTTCTTCGTGTGTTTTTTGGTCTTCCTTTATTTCTATGCCCCGTGGGTTCCATTGCAAAATCATTCTAGTTATATTGTTCTAAATTTTTCTCAGTTTGTGGCCTATCCAATACGAGCGTCTCTTCTTCACCTCTTAGTCCACTGAAACTTGTTTAGTTCTCTCCCAAAGCTCTATGTTAGAGATTCTATCATACCATTTAATTCCCTCTATTCTGTGCAGGCACCAGTTAATGAATGGTTGTAGTTTATTATTAATAGCTTCAGTTGTTTCCGCTCCGTATAACAGTACTGTTTTGACATTAGAATTAAAATGTTAAGTTTAGTATTAATTTTGATTTCTTTTAACCTCAAAAATTTTCTAGTGCTATTAAAACTCCTCTTGCCTATTGTATTTGTATTTCAATATCTCTATCAGTTCCCCCATCTTTATCTACATTACTGCCCCCATAGATGTGTGACTTGATGTCTTTGAATAGGATGCAATTGAGGGAAACCACATTACTATTTGCCTGATTTTAGCCCCCCCCCCCCCCCCCCCCTATAGCACAATATAATACTATAAAGGGTGCAAATTATTTTAGAAGAAATCTCTGTAGACTCATCTGACTTTTATAACAAATGTCTGGACTGTTTGGTTCCACACACACAAAAAAGTTATGGTATGTCTTCCATGTGATGCTGTCTGTTTGCTTGTACTTAGAATATAAGCATGTAAGCAGTCTAGAATTTGGCGCAAAAATGTGGTCTCTGGCTGTTTCCCTATTACCCAATTTTTGTGTGTGCAATTTTGTCTTTTTTTCCCCTTCTCTCCATTATCTGATTAATTCCACTGTCCCAGAGTTTCAGAAAATGATAACCTTTTGTTCATGATTTTGGTAAATAAAAAGTCCAACATTTTAATATTCACATGGTATTTTTAAGTTTAGAAATGGATGCTGTGCTTCTGAATGATCCAGACCCCAGATTAACATCTTTAAAAAAAAAAAAAACCTGCTTTAGATGCACATTGATGATTTTTTTGTTAAACGTAAACATGAATAAATCTAAAGTTATCCAAGTTAAAAAATGTGGATGTGAATTTTTCTTCGTGTTCACCAGCTGTAAACTCCGGTGGCAAGTTCTGGTTGTTCGTCCACTTCTGGACTGCAGTCCTGTTCCAGAACCTGAGTGTTGCGTGTGTATCCGTTTTACAGATCTGACTCATTTGTATGCAGATTGCTGGTTCCTTGCCTGTCAGGCAGATGCATTCTGACTTCGAAGGAAGCTCCCATTTTGTTGACTCTTACAACATGCTTTTGGGTAGGCAGTGGGTCTATTCTTGTTTACCCTATAACAGGTCCCCGGAACCCACACGGGGGATAGATGTGTGTTGAGATTGAGGCTTTTGTTTGATGATTTTGGCTTGCACACTGAAGACAAACGTGTCAGATTTTGGAACTTACATGTTTCAAGAAGATTCTTTGAGTATCATGGACCAAGAAAACAACAAATACTATCATTCTTTACCATTTGAATAAAGAGGTGGACTTCCTCATATACAGTATTCTTTCTTGTAAATTGAAATGCTTCTGCTGTATTAAATGCTTTCCCCATGTGCCATAATGAGAGCATCAGTCTGCCAAAGATTGGCATGGGACCGAGTTGCTCTCCCGTCTGCTATTATGAGACCATCAATATGCAGACATTGGTATAGGATTGACTTGCTTTTCGCATGTGTCATAATGAGAGCATCAGTCTGCCAAAGATTGGCTTGGAATCAAGTTGCTTTCCCCATGTGCCATAATGAGAGCATCACTCTGCCAAAGATAGGCTTAGAATCAAGTTGCTTTCTTCATGTGCCATAATGAGAGCATCAGTGTGCAAAAGACTGGCATGGGACTGAGCTGCTTTCCCGTCTGCTATTATGAAACCATCAATATGAAGACATTAGCATTGGATCGACTTGCTTTCCCATGTGCCATAATGAGAGCATCAGTCTGCAAAGGATGGCATGGGACCAATTTTCTTTCCATTGTGCCATAATGAGAGAATCAGTATACATGGTGGTAATTATTGGGATTTTGGCCTGTGAATTGGGATTTTTGGCTTGCATATTTGACAATTTAAAGATGAAAATGAACACATTTACATTTCAGATAATAACTGCGTTTATGACAGTCAGCGCATACACTACACTGGTAAGAAGAGTGTAACAGACAATAACAGCCAGTGCATTGAGTGGAGCAAAGTCCAAACAGGCAACAGTAGCATCAGTTTTGAGAATGGGGATGAACCCAACAATTTCTGCAGAAATCCACTATTACCTAAAGGAGGTCGACTTAATAAACTATGGTGTTATGTATCAACAGAAGGAGACATTGGAATTTGTAATGTAAACTTCTGTGGTAAGTTTATGATATTTTTGCTTTGTTACTTGTCTGATTATGTGGTTCTACTTTTTGAATAGCTGCTCTGTCTGAAGATTTTGCCATTTATGTTGTGTGCTTTTACAATAAATCATTGTATGTTCATTTTATTTGCAGTTTTCAACCAAAAAAAAAACAAAAAAAGTTCCCAGTTTATTTCTATTTCTTCACACATCGGGTATAATGTATGTGTTATGTATTGTGTTACACTTCATAATGCAACCCATTTCTACACATCACAGTATTGCATTCGCGTATTCTTAAGAATCATAAGGTTAATTCATACAAATCACAGTGTTGCTTGTGAACTTGAGTTTTGCATGTACATCCATTTTACAGGTCTGGCTTATTTTTGTGCAGACTGTTTGTTCATTGCTTCTCATGCAGATGCACTCCAACTTCAAAGAAAACACTCCTAATTAGTGACCTTTTTTACAACCTGCTTTTTAGGGAGGCATGCATTTAGAAATGTTTATTTTGAATTGTGTGCATGCATTCGTGCACAAACATGTGTGTATGTGCATATTCTGCTGTAATTGCTGTTACTCTGTGGTTTTAGTCTGCCCCGCTAACCTGTATGGTGATGGCTGTGTGAACCAGTGCCACTGCAAGCATCCAGGTGAAGTCTGTGATCAGAATGGGGTGTGCAAAAGTGGTTGTGCTGATGGTTGGACAGGGATCCAGTGTCAAACACGTAAGTTTCACAAATAAAAGTCTCCTGTTTTACCATTGTATTATTGGCACATTTCTGTCTTTCCAGATGACAGTGTTATGCTATGAGGAGCCATGGGACTAGCCCATGGCAATGGTGAGTGTGAATAGCAAGACCCGCCCATGCAAAGAAAAGTCTTCCTCAATTATAACATGGGATTTTAAGACCATTATTGTCAACATTTGTATTTAGTGTGTTTCTTCTCAGACGCTCAGTTCTTATCCTTACTGCAATCATTTTTTCCTTCATTCTCCTTCCCTTCCTGATGTGCCTCCTCCACACAACATGGTCCATGGCATTTTGTTCCCATGAGTTCACCTCAGTACATGTATCATTCATGGCCAGCTTGCACCACATCTTTAAATCGTAGTATAGGTCGGCCTCAGAATATTCTACCCATCTTTATTTCACCATAGAGGATGTCCTTAGGGACTACCTTTATATATATTCACTGAGATTTCAATAATTAGAGTTGACAGGCTCGACTTCATTGCTCTAGGTTTCAGCCCATATGGCTCAGCCTCTCTTTGCCAGCTGGGGGATGTCACACAGGGCAAAAACTCCTTAGATTGTGCAATGATCCCCAGAGTCTGCACAAAAAAATAAACATGTGACTTTCAGAACGAGAGACAAACGGTTTGATCACTTGACCCTTTAATGTAGTTAATTTCTTCCAGCATGGGCTCCAGGGTCCAAGTTTGGTGGAAAACAGAATAGGCCCACTGTCCCACTGAACAAGCATGCTGTACAAGATAACTAATTAGAAGTGTTTCCTTCAAAGTCAGAGTGCATCTGCCTGAGAGGTGAAGATGTAAACAATATAGCCAAATCTGGACAGCGGATCTGCACACAAAACCCAAGTTCTGGAACAAGACCAAATTCCAGAAGTGGACGAATAACCTGAACTTTCTACTAACGTTTACAACTGGTAAATGCTAAGAAGATTTCATTAATTATTATATTCAGAGTATGCTTCTCATAAGAGAAGCAAAGAATATTAGCACTGTAACCTATCACATCTTTTAAAACAGTCTTTTGCTGCTCTAATAATGTAATTTTTCAGGTATAGTGGGAGGTGGGTAATTTTGACTCTGAGGATTTAGAACTAACCGGGTAGTGAAGTTGCCAAAAACTATGCAGGTTTGGAATTTAATTTTGTCCCCCTCAGCAAAAATCTTATCATACTACGAATTATTCAAACCTGGGTCTGCTAAATAAAAGCCCCCAACATTCTCACCACTTGGCCAGACTACTTTTGGCAGTGCACAAAAATATACATCATTGAGACTCTCATCAGACAATTGAAACACTACGATAAACAAATGGACATAAAATAATTGGCATTCATACTGCTTATCATTTGATAAATTGTCTGTGAAGTGAAAATCAGATGAACCAAAACAAAATAAGTAAACTTGTTTCTGACCTACAATTTTAGAAAATCCTGGTATCTCCATGGTGAAGTGGTTAAGCTGTTTGCCTCGCGCTCTGAAGGTTGTAGGTTCATTTCATGGTGGCCCCTCTCAGTTCATGAGAGTAACTTTATATGGGGATCATTGCTGGAGCTACAGAGGTCATGCTTTTTATGATGCTCTCAGCAGACAGGTAGCCAATCTACAGATATAGACTGAGCAATTTGGGTTAACCCTACCAGACCTCATGCCCTGAACCTAACTGCCTCCAACCTGAGCTCCTGGGCATTAACATGAAAAAAAACAACATAATAAACAAAAATATTAGTTACATGCAAACAAGTGGCTAGAATAAGATTAAACTTGGAGACATTGTAGAAAATAGGTTTACCTTTTATCTAGCGCCAATTTTCCACCTTTGTGTGCTAATCCACCCAGCAGGATCAACCTTGTTTCACAAAGTGAACACAAGATGTTGCTGTTTGAGGGACACGCCCCTTTCTCCTACTTTCGATCTATCTCTAGATTTATAAATATCAAGATTCTCCTCATCATTCCAGCTCTCACTAAATGAGTCACTTCAACTGGGAACATATTCTTCATAAAATGATGACTCCGCAGAGTCTGAATAAACCAAAGTATTGATCAACCGTTGGACTGTGAAAGGCCTAGACCTACTTCACTTTCCTGTCGAAGTGCTTGGTTCATCAGCCACTCATTTTATGGTGAATTTTCACAATTTTTTCACGTAAATCAACACAAATTTAATCTAAACACTTGCGGGCGGACATCTGGGAAGACTATCCACGCGATCTGATTATGATTGGCTAGTTATTTTTAGTTTGTGACGCATGGTTTTCTCATAGTAAGCACATTCCCGACATTGAGGGACAGCGGTTTAGCGGCAGGTTAGGAAATTCCCGTAATAGCGGGCCAGCGGTCTGGTAGAGTTAAAACCGGGTGTAATGAAGTCGTTCCTCTCACATTTAACCCTTAACTTTTTTTAAAATTGAAGTGTTAAAAATACTCCTGACTACTTCAGAAATAAATGTTTTGAAAGGAAACAGAAGTTTATTCATTAATTACATTTTAACCATGCTAAATGATTACTTTTAAAACTACACATTCTGATTTGTTATCCTTGACTGTTTAACTTTTGTTAGAAATACTTTTTTGCAGCCTGTGAAGCAGGTAAATATGGTCCCTTGTGTCAACATGTCTGTGACACTTGCATGAACAGGGACTGTGACCCTGAAACAGGACAGTGTCTGCAGGGCTGTGTGGCTGGATACATGGACAACAATTGTCAGACAGGTTAGAGTCTTTATAGTATGTAAGAAACTGTCAGCATTATTGTAGTTACATTGTATGGAAGGGAAGCTGTGGTGGTGCAGGGGCTAGATGTTTGCCAGGTGGCCCAGAGGACTTAGATTTTCAAATCCACATTTCCCGATGTGGGTTCTGGGGTCCCAGATTTGGGAAGGATGAGAGAATAGACCTGCTTTCCCCTTCTCCACCAGGCATGTCATTCAAGGCGGCTAACTAGGGATATTTCTTCAAAGTTGGAGTACATCTGCCTGAGGCCTGAGAGGCAAGGAACCAACAACCTACTTAAAAATAAGCCAGATCTGTAAAACAGATGTATATGCAAAACTCAACTTCTAAAACAGGACCAAAGTACAGAAGTGGACAAACAACCAGAACTTTCTGGCAGAGTTTACAGCCAGCGAACACGACAAAGAAGAAATCTGCATTGAGGTGGATTTTTAAAAATAACTGATCTTGCATAAAATGGGTACAAGGAAAGGTCTTGATAGAAAGGTGGTAAGCATTATGTTAGTTACATCATTTATTATGTTCTGTATGGTCATCAGGTGTATGGTTCATCACCATTTGCCCACTGTAAAAAAGTGTCTGCAGGACCGACTCAAAACAGCAGTTGGCAAAACATTCTTTGCGGCTGTTCCAGTAGTAAGGTACAAGACCACTCCTATTCCAACCCCACCTATTAAACAGCTCCTTTCTCCGTACACCAAATCTAATTGTATTTACCAATTTACATGTAGGTGCCAGTTGACTTACATCGGTCGAACAGAGAGACTTCTTGGAAATTGAGTGGCAGAGCACATACCTAAATGGCTACACACACAGCTTAGTGATTCTTCTAGGGTGTTGAGACCAGTCAAGAGGAAAGAACCCGCTTCTTCCATAGGACGTCATCTACTTAATTCCGGACACATAATTGACACAGACACTGCTTTCCGTGTGGTTTACAACACTCCGAACAGGAGACTTTTGAGAATCGCCAAAGCCTTAACAATAAAAATCAACAACCCCCTCCTTTGTAAGCAGACGGAATTTATCGTAAATTTGAAGTTACCCTGGTAAGTCACGTGACTACGGTGAGCTTCTGGCGGCCATGAAACAGAGACAGTGTATCGAAGAAAATATTCGCATTTCAGTTGAATTTATTCAGTTTTGTGCTTTATTTTATGTTGATGTAATTTTATTTCTATGTTTTTGTGGATCCCAGTTTAAAGCTCTTCTAGTTATACTGTTCTCAGGTTTTTCTTAATGTGTGTTCTGTTCGATGCCAGTGTTTTCTCCGCTAGTCACTGGAATTTGTTTAGTTCTGTCCCAGAGCTCAACATTGGTGTTTTTATCATACCATTTAACTCCACTATCTGCGCAGGCTCCAGTTAGTGAATTGTTTGTAGTTTATTAGTGACTATTTTAGTTATCATCCATGTACCCGCCCCATGCAGCAGTCCTGATTTGACGTTATTGTTAGTATTAATGCAGCAAATCACATTTCCCTCACAGCTTGTGAAGGTACTTATGGCATTAACTGCTTCAAGCCGTGTGGCAAGTGTAAGGACAACAAAGTTTGTGACCGTGAAACTGGACACTGTAAGTTCGGCTGTGATCCTGGTTACAGGTCTCCATCTTCTTATCCCAGGCTCTGTGATACACGTAAGTGTTTCTGTTTTTATTTGTTGCCTAGAAAGTAATGGCAACATTAGGTTGTTAGTAAATCCTTAAAATAAGAAACAGTTTCGATATCTTTCTCTCACAAGTTAAATTTATTAGAAACTTGTGGCCTTAGATGCGCCCACCCGTGAGAGGAGTGTGGAGGGAGGGGGGGGGGGGGGGGGGAGCCAACAGTTTTAGGGCTGTTATAAAACATAACTTTGTTAATTTTTTTTATCCTTCACAATATAGTCCACTTTGATTATTGCACTTGTTTGCACACTGTATTAGCCTCATTGTCCTCAAGAAAAGACGTTTTTAAACTATAGTTCAGCTCTGTTGTCATTGCACACTGAATGTTTGCTACTGAATAAATATGCTACCTTTTTAGAAAACATTTATTTTGGTGGTCAGATTGTAGACGGAAAACCATGTTTCATCACTGGTAATTATACACCTTGTATTTTTTTTAAAAACAATCGTCTTATATCATAAAAAGTAGAATCAGGCAGTAAACAATGCATTCTTATTTCTAATGCAGCGTCATAGTGCTTGGAGCAAATAAGGTGCAGCTCTTCCTCCTTCTTAAATCTTTAACATAGCATCAGTACATGTTAGCATGACTTATGCCACACTAGCTTCTTCTTCTTCTTCATTTCTTTACTCCTGGAACACCTTGTAGCATCAGGGCAGGAAGAGATTTATGGAACAGGCCTTTCTGTTTGCTTTGTATATAGTACTTTTCAGTGTCTCTGATATTTCTGCGGTCCTTATTCTGCATGGTCGACCTCTGGGTCTGTTACTTTTGTATTTGTATAATAAATAACATAGCTCTCTCTGGTGCCGTGTCTGGTGCCAATCTTGTTGCGGGGCCAAACCACTTGATCTATGGATAAAGTTCAGTATTGGTTCTGAGCCAACTCTCCTTCTGATATTATCATTCCCAAGTCGATCTTTCCTTGTGACACCTCAGACTTAAACATTTGATTTCTGTCATGACTATTTTCCTTCTGTTTTCTGAAGACAGTCCATGTTTGAAATTGATAGCATAGCATTGGTAAGAATATTGTGTTGATCAGTGCTCTTTTAGTGCTTATATTCACTTGCTTGCATTTCCGGATCGATGCCATTTGGCTTATAGCTTGGTTGGCGTTATTTTATCTTTGTTGGATTTCTTCTATATGCTGTATTAAAGTACTAGATGGTTGCCACAGCATTTTACAAACTTTAACACAAAATTCAGTTCCCGCTCTCTGCTACCAAAGAACACTAATGACAAGACAAGTAATCTTTTCTTTTAAACTAGATCATACTTTTAGACTGATGTAAACCATTTAAGCCTATTCATGTGCTACATAAGTACTACATTGTTCTATCTCCGGGTGAGGTTTGATCGCAGCTTATCATCCAGGGAACATGTTGACCGTGTGATAACAAAAGCATGCAAGGGTCTTTCTCCAATGAAGATTATTGCTGCTTCCAGTACTGAGCAAAGACTACTAATACTTGTGTTCTACAGGCTGATCCTTTCTCACATTGAATATGCTCTAGACATCCTCAGTGTCAGTGCTACACAGACTGAACGACTTGAAAAGATGCAAAATGAAGCCGTACGCATTATTTATTGGAATGTACAAGAGGCACTTCCTGTGTAGCAGTGAGATATCTACTTGACTTTCCAACAAAGAACCAAAGGATCAGAATCTGGAGGGCCTCGGGCATACCTTAAAATATGTGCTGAAACATCCACTGTGTCAAGTGCTTTTCAGTAAAAAGGGTTACATGCTGGAGGGAAAAATCATGGCTAGGTCGGGAAGAAGATGTTATCAAGCAAATGTGCAGCCTAACCAACATCACCCCTGGTGCAGAGTGCATACCCTTGCCCCAGATAACTTTGAAAAAGTATAAGTCATACCTTGAGTGCATCTTAAAAATTAAACTGATATAGACCCCTGTAAAGAATTATTAGCTACAAAAAGTGCACAGAGAAAAGATTTTAGAGACATAATCGGTATATTTATTACTCATAGCTGTTTCCTAAAGAAGTTGTATATTTATCAATGCAAAAATCAATTTGTGTGTGATGTACAAGGACATTGAGCAATTTATATTATGTTGCATTTCACAGAATGCAAATTTAAATATGGCCACAACTGTGAGAATAACTGTGGAGCTTGTTACAGTGGTGAACCATGTGATATTGTCACTGGTATCTGCTCCGGAGGTTGCCAGGATGGATACACTAATGATCGATGCAACAGCAGTAAGTAGCTGTTTACATTTATACAGTAATATGCCGTCATCATTTATGCAGGTCCTTTGCAGAGCATCATTTCCAACACAGTTCGTCGGGAAGTTAAACCGCCTCTTGCCAGATCTCCTGCCGCGTACACTTTCTTACCCAGTGTGTTTCTTGTACCCTTTGCTCATCTTTATGTTGGTCGGGCCCTGTCGCTCTTACATGGTACCTTGCCCTCCACTACTGTCCTTTTCAATCCACTGTTGTATTTGATCTGGCCATAATGTTTCAGAAGCAAAGTGTTTGCTAGCTAATCTTCCTAGATGTTCAGGTCTTCTATTATGTCACAATTTCTTTAATTCTTGATCCATGGCTTTTTGAGCATTTTAAAATTAACTTTTCAGTTCAAAAGTTTGCTTTCTCAATGATTGCATGATAATCAACTCACATCCATTGCTACATAAAAGATGCCTGCTATCACAGTTGTGATTCTGATAGTGAACTTTATTTTCCTTGCTGGTGCTTAGCCATAGACTTTTAATGTAGTTTAAACATTAATGTACAGTTACAAATCTACAGCACATGGGATCATATTTTTTTAATGTAAAACACACAGTACGTTAAAAAATAACAACACATTCATAGATTAATTGTACAGAACATTTTATGGTAATATTTGACTTTATTCTTAATCCAGATCTAAATGTTTTTTCCCTTTCTTCTTCTCTTCCTTTTTCTCTTTTTTGTTGTTTATATTGTTCTTGTTGTTCTTTCTCTTCTGCTGCTGCTTCTGTTGTCCATCTCCTAATTCTGCTGTTGCTTCCACTATATTTTGGTTTTTAATAGAACACAGGCCTTGAGCCAGCTCATTCCAATGACTGTAGATTTGCTCTTGATTGGTGGAATTTAGGTGCTGAAGTCTGCTATGGAATGGGATAGTCTTACATCAGCCCATCTTGGTTAGGACATCCCTAGCAGGTTACACTTTCTGTTCTTTGCTTTCCTTTAGGTCTGGTTAAATTATGAAAACCGAAGAGTTTTTAAAGTCGGCAAAGTAAGACTCGCCATGTTGTTGAGTGAGTCTTCAGACCCCAATGTCATTGCTGTCCAGCCCGCTCTAAAGACAGGCCTGAAATAGAAGGTCCTAGATGCGATTGAATCTGCCCAGAATGCACTAAAATTAAGAGAGGTGATGGGTTACACTCAAACCGACCGTCGAGGCCTAGGTCACGGGAAAGTCAGTTGGTGGTCCAAAGCCACAGCTAAAGAGTGCCGAGACATGGTGATACAGGGACACCAAAAACGAGGTTCGGGTCCATAAAGCAGCGCGCCAGTGGATCAGCCTAGAGAGCGCCTTGCCACGAGTACTCACATAAGGTGAGATCTGGCGAATGGCCCCGCTGTGACTGAGCTTTATCGTTCGATCTGCCTACGATGTATTACCGTCCGGTGTTAACATGGTAAAGTGGAGTGCAGCTAACGACCCGACGTGCCCGCTATGAAGAGCTAAACAGCCGCTCGAGCATGTATTGTCCGCGTGCAGAAAAGCCCTAGGTCAGGGCAGATACACTTGGCACCACAACAAGGTGCTGAAAGAGTTAGCGGCCTTTGTGGACCAAGCTAGGATGAGGGCCAATGCGAGGGCCAGTCCTACCGTCGTCCCCATGCACTTCCTTAAGGCTGGGCAGATTTATAAAGTTAAATTCAACAAAGTCGCATACGCTGCATCGATGCTTGACTGTGCGAGGGACTGGTTACTGGCGGTTGACCTGCCTGGTCATAAAAAGTATCCTGAGTTAATCTGGAAGACTGGCCTGCGACCCGACATAGTCCTACACTCTGCGGAGAAATGTCAGCTCATCCTGATTGAGCTTACCATGCTGTATGAGTCGCGAATGGACGAAAGCCATGTGTACAAGCTCGAGAAGTACAATGACTTAGCAGCTGGTCTGAGGAGAGACGAAGCATACACAATAAGAATCTTCGCCCTCGAGGTAGGCGCAAGAGGTCTCGTTTCCACTTCAATGTACAATGTGATTAAACAACTAGGCTTACGAAGGAATGAACGCAAATGAGCACTAAAACAACTGGGCGAGGTTTCTGAGAGGGCCTCGAGCTGTCTGTGGACACAACGGAACGTCGTGGGGGACGGGCCTCAGTGAGCTGGTCTGGGTGTCTAGTGGAAAAGAATGTCTTATCCCTTAAAGTCCATCATGTCTGAATTGTCTCAGGAACAAAGTCTAACATGTGTCCGGTAAACCAAACATAAGCTTGCCGCTTGGTCATCCAGGTAAGCTGACTGCTCTAATTATGCTACCACAACGACTTCATATCGCACGTTACCTTTTGCAGAGTCACCAATTTGTCTTGTCCCTGTCCGATAACATCCGGTAATACGTGCAGCAGGAGAAAATCAACCCTGAGCCTCATGAACACAGGTGGGCCCACTCTATAAAATGTCTAGGAGCTCGTGGGCTGTCGACGAGAGATTACTTCTACTGACGATTAGTAGACTCCTGCTGTACATGCTACCCTGTGGAGTTTCTTCTTACTTATTGAGCACCAAAAAACTGAAGCTTGATCTGAGCCGATTAATGAGTTTAATATGTCTTTGTGCTGGGACCCACAAGGTAAAATGAATAAAGACAGATCCCAAAACACATCGAGATGGGAATTAGAGAGTCAAGTTAGAAAGGTGGGGAGGACATGAGGTGAGCTGCATGCAGTAGCAAGGGATAGGATAACTTGGTATGAGTTGGTTGAAAGTCTGTACTCCATAAGGACAGGAAAAGAAAATGGGTTTACAACTGATGTGTATTCAGAGTTTGTTATCAGCTTGTTAAAGTTAAAGACCAAACTGATTTTCAATTTCAGGTTGCCCAAGCTTCTTTTATGGCAAGAACTGTGCGAAAAGATGTGGAATTTGTAAAGACAATTCAAGCTGCGATCCTTTCACTGGCCGCTGTGTTTTGGGGTGCGGTGATGGCCATATTGGGTTTGAGTGCATTGAACGTAAGTGTGCTTTTTGCTTGATAGTTTCATGTCATTAAAATGGCGATATTCCTTGATCGTTTAACAGTAAGATAGCAAACTTTTGGCTTGATAATGAGAGTACTATGTTATTTTTATGCATAGAAATTCTCAGACTGTAATGCTTCAGAACACAGGTCATCATTACGAAGCAGGTCCCTTGCAGAACGTAGCTCTCATCACAGTCTCCTGAGAGAAACTTGGTCTCTCGCCAGCTCTCCCACCTCATGTACTTTCATTATCAAGGAGTCACTTATATCCTGTGCCAATTTTCGTGTTGGTCTGCCCCTGCCCCTCCTTCCTGATACCGTGCCTTCAGCTATTATTTTTTACAATCCACCATGGCACTTGATATGACCAACGTATTTTAGCTTCCGAGATAAGATGCTGTTTATTAGCCGGTCTTCCCTGATGTTCAAATTGTTTAAAATGTCAGTATTTCTTCTCTTCTTTGTCCAGTTAAGGACAGTGTTTCCCAAATTGTTTAGGTTTAAACTTGGGGGTCATCTTATACACAGAATGTGATTAAAATATGTATTTCCTAATTTGTTAATTTCTAGCTCAAAATGTAAGTGTTGTCTTATACATGATGACATCTTATATATGGACAAATATAGTATGTTTGTTTCAGATATGGGTCTAGCAGCATTTGTCTGATGTGCCAGTGTCATGGAAAATGTCTTTTCAAGTGTTAATTGATTTCTTTATTTTTAGTTTTTAACATTGCCTCTGTAAATGCATGCATTTAATATATCAGTATTTGTTGCTCGGTTGTGGATCCTCTGGAAAACTATTCTCAGTCAGACACATTGATGTTTTTTCTTCTCTGAGCCCTGAAAATGGTTAACATGTATTGGAATTTATTAGTGTGCAGACTTTTCCAACCCAGTACCCATGCGCTATCGCCATGAGGGTTGTTTTTCAGGACTCCCTCTCCACTCTATAAACCAGTGACGTACACATGACTGGTACTGAAAATTTACATCTGTTGTTATTAATTAGGATGTAGCCAGGTCAGGCATTCAGCACAACACATACTGACTGACTGGGTACTTTGATAATACTTGCTCCACACATGTTAGATATTTCATTCTCTAAAGACTCCCACCCAGTGTCCAGTGGGATGTGATTAAATATTATGAGCTAATTTTCTCTTTGGACTGTTCCGTTTGCATGTTAAGCATATGGATAGAGATCTGAATGAATTCTAGTTTGCTCTTTATAAGCAACATATTTTGGGGGGGGGGGCGGGGGGAGGCACCCTAAGTTAATTTGCCTAGCCATCTTTTGCAAGGACAGCCTTTTCTTGTTCCACCCTGTACTTGAGCAGTATTACTATTTGTGGTAGCACACACTGAGAAAAGATATTCATAAAATAACCAGAATGATTTTTTCTAGAACTCAGAAACAGACCTAAAGATGAATTAGATACAGTTAAACGGAGGGGTTAGGGGCAAACTGGGAGATAATAAAGTTGGCAAATGATAAGAAGCTTTTTGTGAATTGGTTTAGGACTGATCCTCCATTGATTGTTTCATTCTGCACAGGCACCAAATAACGAATGATTGTAGTGTTTTAGTTATTTTTTTTGGCTCCATTTTGTGGTGGAAAGAGGGGGGGGGGGGGAATAGACTCACTGCCCCCTAATAAGCATGTCATAAAAGGCAACTAATTAGGGATATGCTGAAATCAAACATGTTGCCAGCTTTTGCAGCTAATCTTTAAACCACAACGCCTGCTGCCCTTCTAAGTGTGAATGCAGAAGGATAATTTAGTAATTCTTCATATGACTGCAACATACAAATATACATGTGGTATTTGCTTGTTCTGTTCTCAGAGATGGTGATTGAGAGCGAGACTGGTAGTTTTGTTATATGGGCCGGTGTGGCAGGTGCTGTGCTCTTTGCTGTTATAATTCTGGTGGTGATATGCATTGTTTACAAGTGAGTACTGTAATTGTTTGCTTCATCAGTTTAATAGTTGAGTTTTATTGCCTGTTTCAGTCAGGCTTCCATTGTTTTTGCTGTGAACAAAATGTGAAAATGTGCATGCACACATACACACATGCACGCACACACATATGTGCACACTTGCAAACACACACACACACACAAAGAACAAAAAGGGGGGGGGGTATTTTTCTAGAGATTTTTAGGAAAAAAAATAGTTTAATACATTGAAATTTAGAAAATAATTCAGTTTCAGACATTGATGTAAGTAAAGTAAAATAAAGGACTCTTCCCACCCTTGGTGCATCAGGTTTACAGTGTTAGACCTGTTTTTTTTTTTATATGCCAGTTGGTACTACTTCTTCTTTTGTTCGCCCAAAATAGATAATCTTTATCTTCAATGTTTTCTCTAGTATGAATTTCACTGTCTTTTGTAATTCATTCAGCAACTTGTAAAATTTGGCTTCTACTATTGTTTCTTTTGGCCAGAAGTTTTGCCTTGATATGTTGTATCTGGGACAGCCTTGGAGTTGGTACTAAGTGGGTGATGGGGGTCAGCATCATGTCAGATGCCTTTACTTCCCAGGATATTCTCTTCTACTCATTTTATGCAGGGTCGCCCATGGAGTACTGTCAGTTTACGAGTAGGAAGTTTCAAAATGTGCTGACATCAGTGTGCCTGATTCGGCCGTGAACAGTCTGTCGCAGAAGTCTTGACTTTTTGAAACTTTCTGCTCCACTCATGCACTTGCTGGTCTGACAGGCAGGCACATTATGTAAAGTTCCATTGTCCATGCCTGTAAGCGTATTGAGAATATAGGGCTAGACCTATATTTTTATAGACCAATCGGCACTTGGTGGGTGATGTGGTCAGTATTACGCCAACTGCCTTTACTTCTCAGGACTGCACCTGGTACCCACTTAAGGCTGTGTCAACCTGGGTCCTCTAATGAACGTAAAATTGTGACAACAAAGATGAAATGCCTCAGAAGAGTTGCAGGAGTTTTAAAAGGAAAGACAGAATACAAAATCAGACAAATACTAGGAAGAAAGCCAGTCTTACAGGTCATCAAAGAACAACAAATGAAGTTGTTTAGACACCTAACAAGAATGCCCTGGTACTATCTGCCACAGCGAGCCACGCTGAAATGTTACAACGAGCATAGAGCGAGCGGAAGACCTCGGAAAAAATAAAGTGATGGCATTAAGAACAGCCTTACAGAAATGAACATCAGTCTTAATAGTGCTCTTGACAGAGCTTATCAGAGAACGTTACATCTCTCCCTAACACTTGCTAAAGTACAAGGTGGAAGAGAAGAAGAATAAGAATAATAAGAAGAAGAAAGTCACAGACATTGCATAATTTATTGATCACCAAACTGAACCTTCATTCGCTGATGAATTTCTAGAGGTTTTCCCCCTTCACGGATAAAACAACAACAGATAATAGAATGCTGCTCCTCTTTGGCGTATGTCATGCTCGGGTGGCCATTTTAAAACTCATGTGATGTCACTATGTTCGTCTTCATACTTAACACTCTTGACATCCTTAACAACACTGGACAGGTTACAAGACAGTGGCATGGTTATTGTGATTTCTGTCACACTTTATGGTTTTTGTTAGAACATTCTTCAAGAAATAAGTTGTTTTGTAACATGTGTATAAGAATATGTTCAGGAAATGTAATTTAACCAATTGTTTTGCCATAACAGATTCTATTTTGAAACTCAAAACAATGAAATGACACATCCTACATGTTTAGATTCTGAGCAGAAGTTAATTTCCACAGAAAACGCAAGCGCCAGAATTTGAAGGCACTGAAAAACAAATCTGTGGACCAAGGAGAGAATAATTTGATAAGAGATGAGAGTGTTCACCTTCTGGGTGATTCAAGAATTGGTGAGTAAATCTGTGTTTGTGGATATATATTTTGCACTTAGTCATGCCTAGTGTCAGGTGGTATAATTAAAGCTAGAGTAAAACAGCATTCAAGTCCATCTAGACTAGATAATAAAATACTTAATTTTTAAAAATTCACCCTGAACAAAGAAAATGCCGGAGTTCCTGAGAAAGTCCAGTATTATGGGTTAGGGTTAGGATCTTTGTCAGCCTCGACTGCCTCAAAGGCCAACCTTAACCCTAACTCCAACTCTAAAACCTAACCCCACCCCCTAACACCCCACAGACTATTTAACTTTCCCAGGAACACCAGGATTTCCTTTATTTGGGGGGAATTAAAAAAAAGTACTAATAATAAACAATAATGATAGAAAATTGTATACATATTCTTGTGTGTAAATTTAATAATTTTTCACCATCTGCTTCCTCTTCATGCTTATCTCTGATATAAAATCAGCTATGAGTATAGAAGTGGTCTGTAAAAAAAAATTCTAGGCAAGGATGAATGTTGAATTAAGAATTGACATGATAGCACTCTGGACACTCCCATAAGCACTCTGTCCCCATCTTCAGCAGCAAGCGGAAAGTTCCAGTTCAGATGGCTCCAGTAACTTTCTGATTGTATATCCGTCTCACCTTTCGCTTGAGTGTTGAGTGTCGGCCAGATAACCTGGTAACTCCTCGCAGCGCCATTCTCCTCAGACCTTAATGATCTGTTTGTGCCTCCACACTGTTCACTTGCTCCCAAAGGACTCTCACAACATCTAGTTTGTCATACATCATCGCCACCACCAAGTAGTGCAGAACCGGCCAGTCTATCTGCCTGCTCATTTTCCAACACACTGGCATTACTGGATAAAATATCTAATGAACTCTAACTACCCAAACCTCTGAAGCAGTGCTTGCCAATCTGCACGGAGCATGCCTGTCTCGACCTTTCTCAACATGATCTGTGGGTCGGTTACAATCACGGATTGTGTTTACAGCTTATTCTCAAGCCATTGGAAGACAGCAGTGACTGCCTCCACCTCCATTCTCAAACTAGATGTTGTGATATCATATGCCAGGCTTATAAGCAAGGTGACAGAGGAAAGCAAGAACAATTATAAATAAATATTAACAAACCTTACTACATTGCAGTTTCCAGAAAACACAAATTCCAACATTATTTATTTATTTATTTATTTACAAAAGACATAACAGTTGTTTTCAGTGGCATCTCATTGAAAATATTACATAAACATAGAGAATTTCTGTATCCAGAAGTCTTTTAAAAGGTTAAACAATATTGTGACATAAATATCATGGGTACAAAACAAAATATGTTCGCTAAGTTTTGTGTGGCCTATCTTTCTATACGGACTCAAAAGCTAAACAACAAATAATAAAATGGCGAAGAAACTAAAGGTGATCAATTAGGGATTTTTGAGAAGAATGAATATCAAGGACAGAGGAAAAAATGTTGAGATATTGAAAGTTGCATGGCTGAGAAAGACAGAGAAAGTTATATGTGCGAAGTTTGAAAAGCTGAGCAACGAATAAAGATGTAAGAAATAATAACCAAATCAAAATATAAGATGGCAGGTTGGGGAATCATAATCAGTGGTGACTGCTCCAGAAGAAGAAGATAAAGAAGTAGATGAAAAGTACATAATTTTGTTATTTGTAGGCACTATAAATACATTTTATTTACTTTTTAGATGAGTCCATCCATCCATTTGTGAAAAAAAAAAAAAGAATTTGACCGTGTTCAACCTACTGTGAGCAGTATTAGTTATAATTGTGGTCTGGTTTTTTTGTGCCAGTTATGTTGGCTAAGAAATGTTAATTGCACTAAAACAAAGTGGCTTGGACCAAAGGCTGTCATAAGCATTGCTGTCATAAGCATTGCTGTAAAAACACTCCTGCTTCCATGAAGACTTGCAAAGGGCATTTTCTGCCTCCATGACAGAATGGATAGTTGCATAAGTGAGCTGTATTTGCAGCTACTTGCTGTGCTTTTCCTCCTTTTTCTTATCCTTTTCTTCTTCTTCTCCTCTCTGCTGCCTTTAAACTAAAATGCAGCAAACATCCTCAGCCAACTCCTTTAAGGCTCTTATGGCTTTGTTCATGATTGATTTGATTTTGCAGCTAATGTTTTCTACAAAGTAAAGTAGCCAGTCTCATTCCAGCTCTACTTAGTCACCTCTTTTGACATGTATGGTAGATTACAGTGATATTGTTTCTTTCTACTAGCATGATTTGTTAACCCTTTTCCCTCATAACATCTACAAAAATTATCTTTTTCAAAATTTTGTTAAAAAGATATGCGTTTTCATAATTATCCTAAACTTTTCTCCACAATTTTGTTAAAAATAATGCATTGTTATAATTCTCCTAAACTCTTCTCCAAAATTTTGTTTAAAAAAATGTGTTGTTATAATTCCCTTAAACCCTTCTCTAAGAAACTAGAAGAGGTAAACAAGCAGAAGAAATTTGGTGTCTTGGACCAAAGGGTAGATATCTCTGATCACTGTCTTGGACCAAAAGATAGATATCTATGACCACTGTCTTGGACAAAAAGAGAGATATCTATGACCACTGTCTTGGACCAAAAGGTAGATATCTATGACCACTGTCTTGGACCAAAAGATAGATATCACTGACCACTGTCTTGGACTAAAAGGTAGATATATCTGACCACTGTCTTGGACCAAAAGATAGAAATCTATGTCCACTGTCTTGGACCAAAAGATAATAATCTATGACCACTGTCTTGGACCAAAGGGTAGATATCTCTGACCACTGTCTTGGACCAAAAGATAGAAATCTATGACCACTGTCTTGGACCAAAGGGTAGATATCTCTGATCACTGTCTTGGACCAAAAGATAGATATCTATAACCACTGTCTTGGACCAAAGGGTAGATATCTCTGACCACTGTCTTGTACCAAAGGGTAGATATCTCTGACAACTGTCTTGGACCAAAAGATAGATATCTAAGACCACTGTCTTGGACCAAAAGATAGATATCACTGACCACTGTCTTGGACTAAAAGGTAGATATATCTGACCACTGTCTTGGACCAAAAGATAGAAATCTATGATCACTGTCTTGGACCAAAAGATAGAAATCTATGACCACTGTCTTGGACCAAAGGGTAGATATCTCTGACCACTGTCTTGAACCAAAAGATAGAAATCTATGACCACTGTCTTGGACCAAAGGGTAGATATCTCTGATCACTGTCTTGGACCAAAAGATAGATATCTAAGACCACTGTCTTGGACCAAAAGATAGATATCTATGACCACCGTCTTGGACCAAAGGGTAGATATCTCTGACAACTGTCTTGGACCAAAAGATAGATATCTAAGACCACTGTCTTGGACCAAAAGACAGATATCTATGACCACTGTCTTGGACTAAAAGGTAGGTATATCTGACCACTGTCTTGGACCAAAAGATAGAAATCTATGACCACTGTCTTGGACCAAAAGATAGATATCTCTGATCACTGTCTTGGACCAAAGGGTAGATATCTATGACCACTGTCTTGGACTAAAAGATAGATATGTCTGACCACTGTCTTGGATCAAAGGGTAGATATCTCCGACCACTGTCTTGAACCAAAGGGTAGATATCTTTGACCCCTGTCTTGGACCAAAGGGTAGATATTTCTGACCACTGTCTTGGACCAAAAGATAGATATCTATGACCACTGTCTTGGACCAAAGGGTAGATATCTCTGACCAGAATGAGGTCTGTAAAACTGATGCACAGGCAACACTCAGGTTCTGGAGCAGGACTGCGGTTCAGTAGTGGACGAGCAACCAGAACTTTGCGCCAAGTGTACAGCTGGTGAACCCGAAGAAGAAGAAGAAGATATCTCTGACCACTGTCTTGGACCAAAAGATCGATATCTATGACCACTGTCTTGGACTAAAAGGTAGATATCTATGACCACTGTCTTGGACCAAAAGATAGATATCTACGACCACTGTCTTGGACTAAAAGGTAGATATCTATGACCACTGTCTTGGACTAAAAGGTAGATATCTATGACCACTGTCTTGGATCAAAAGATAGATATCTTTGACCACTGTCTTGGACCAAAAGATAGATATGTCTGACCACTGTCATGTCTGACCACTGTCTTGGAACAAAGGGTAGATATCTCTGACCACTGACTTGGAGCAAAGGGTAAATATCTCTGACCACTGTCTTGGAGCAAAAGATAGATATCTATGACCACTGTCTTGGACTAAAGGGTAGATATCTCTGACCACTGTCTTGGACCAAAAGATAGATATCTATGACCACTGTCTTGGACCAAAGGGTAGATATCTCTGACCACTATCTTGGACCAAAGGGTAGATATCTCTGACCACTGTCTTGGACCAAAGGGTAGATATCTCTTACGACTGTCTTGGACCAAAAGATAGATATCTATAACCACTGTCTTGGACCAAAGGGTAGATATCTCTGACCACTGTCTTGTACCAAAGGGTAGATATCTCTGACAACTGTCTTGGACCAAAAGATAGATATCTAAGACCACTGTCTTGGACCAAAAGATAGATATCTATGATCACTGTCTTGGACTAAAAGGTAGGTATATCTGACCACTGTCTTGGACCAAAAGATAGAAATCTATGACCACTGTCTTGGACCAAAAGATAGAAATCTATGACCACTGTCTTGGACTAAAAGATAGATATGTCTGACCACTGTCTTGGACCAAAAGATAGATATCTCTGATCATTGTCTTGGACCAAAAGGTAGATATCTATGACCACTGTCTTGGACTAAAAGATAGATATGTCTGACCACTGTCTTGGATCAAAGGGTAGATATCTCCGACCACTGTCTTGAACCAAAGGGTAGATATCTTTTACCCCTGTCTTGGACCAAAGGGTAGATATCTCTGCCACTGTCTTGGACCAAAAGATAGATATCTATGACCACTGTCTTGGACCAAAGGGTAGATATCTCTGACCAGAATGAGGTCTGTAAAACTGATGCACACGCAACACTCAGGTTCTGGAGCAGGACTGCCGTTCAGTAGTGGACGAGCAACCAGAACTTTCCGCCAAGTGTACAGCTGGTGAACGCGAAGAAGAAGAAGAAGATATCTCTGACCACTGTCTTGGACCAAAAGATAGATATTTATGACCACTGTCTTGGACTAAAAGGTAGATATTTATGACCACTGTCTTTGACCAAAAGATAGATATCTACGACCACTGTCTTGGACTAAAAGGTAGATATCTATGACCACTGTCTTGGATCAAAAGATAGATATCTTTGACCACTGTCTTGGACCAAAAGATAGATATGTCTGACCACTGTCATGTCTGACCACTGTCTTGGAACAAAGGGTAGATATCTCTGACCACTGACTTGGAGCAAAGGGTAAATATCTCTGACCACTGTCTTGGAGCAAAAGATAGATATCTATGACCACTGTCTTGGACTAAAGGGTAGATATCTCTGACCATTGTCTTGGACCAAAAGATAGATATCTATGACCACTGTCTTGGACCAAAGGGTAGATATCACTGATGACTGTCTTAGACCAAAGGGTAGATTTCTCTGACCAATGGCTTAGACCAAAGGTTAGATATCTCTGACCACTGTCTTGGACCAAAGGGTAGATATCTATGACCACTGTCTTAGACCAAAGGGTAGATATCTCTGACCACTGTCTTGGACTAAAGGGTAGATATCTCTGGCCACTGTCTTGGACCAAAGGGTAGATATCTCTGGCCACTGTCTTGGACCATTGCAGCCCCTAAAAAGATGTTTTTTCATATTTAGAATCGTTATTTTGTGCAAAAATTAAAAAATACATATATATATCAAGGGAAATAATAACTAAATGCAGAGGAAAGACACAACTGCTTTCCTTTCCTTTAACAATGAAAACGAGGGTTTTGTTTACACAACCCTTGATAGCAATGTGGCATCATAAGTTTATTATGATATCGCAATGACACAAATGACTTTCTTCCCTCCCAGATAATGTCTTAAAGAAAGCTGATTTTGTAAAAATAATCATACCTACAGCGTCTACACATTATGCAGTTGAACTAATCCCAAAGCTGTTATTTGGCATATTGGCCACTGATAAAAATGTCACGACATCCGATACCCATTAAAGTAAGAAAAACAGTTTTTTTGTGTGGTCCACATGGTAAAAGCACTTTAAATTTTAGGTGACATTTGTTATGTATTTACAGGCAGTGAACCGCCTTCGTCTGCTAGAGATGAAGACGACACCTACAGGAACAATATCCACGAGCCAATTTACATGAATGTTAACAACAGGAAACAAACCAGCCCGGTGCCAGTGTCTGAACTGTATGACTATATCGCCAAGAATCAGGAACACAACTGCCAGGGCTTCATGAAAGAGTTTGAGGTAATTTGTTAAATTTCCTCTCTTTAAGTATAGCAGATTTTAATGTTGTTCTGTTCTGTTCATGTGGTTCTGTTCTCTTGGAGCACTAGTTCCTGAAATATTCGTCTTTGAAAATAATCAATTTCTAATCTTTATTAGACTCACAGGGGTGAAGACTTCAAGCACACCAACTTGTTTTCACCTATGCCAGAGTTGGTGCATATTTTTAAGGAGCAGTCATTGTACAAGGGTATCTCCCTAAATCCTGGCAGAAGAAGGAAAATAAAAATAATGGAGAATTGTGTTGACAGTCTACTGCAGTCTGTGTTGACTGCATCAAGAACATAGTGGTAAACCTTTCCTTTTATAGACCAATGGGCACTTGATGGGTAATGTCTTCAAGTTGACGTCGGCCAACTCTATTTCCCATGTCCCATGACAACACTTGGTACCCTTTTAGGCTGGGTCGACCTGGAGGCCAAGATCAGTTTGAAATAAATCCGCCTCGATGCAGAAGTGTGGTGTGGCCTTGTGCCACAGGACCGCTACGGTAGCCATGAAGGCCATCCTGGGTCACCCCAAAATGTTCTTGCCAGTGGGGCTCTGGTGATGTTGCGACAGGCCTAGAAAGCCGGCAGTGGATTTAATACCACTTCAACAAGTACAATGAGATATAAATGGACTGATCGAACAGCTTTTGGTCTGAGAAAGACTAGGAGTGACCAGAAGAGTTAAAATCGGCACAGAACCAATTCTAAATTATATACAAAGACAACAAATAAAATGGTTTGCCCACTTGGAGGTAATGCCTTCTGATGCTTTACCATACAAGGCATATACCAAAAGAGGAGAGGGAGATAGAGCAAATTGTAGACCAAGAACAAGATAGGAAGATAACATCAGAGAAACTCTGCAGCCCCACAATATGTCTATGGTCGAAGCAGCCAGAAGAGCACGAAGCAGGACCTTGTATCTCCCTCGACACCGGAAGTGATAAAAGAGGACGTAGAGAAGAAGAAGAATATGCAGATTTTAATCTTTGACTTGAGGCCGACAGGTGAGCATATAGCTGCTGTACTAGCGCAACTCCTGTCTGTCTCTCTAATTATTGTTTTGTGTGTGTCTGGAGGGTTTTCTGGCTGAAGATTTTTCCGTGATGGTGTGGATAATCAAATAACCAACCAGCCTTAGTTACCTGTGATGACATGCTTAGCAACTGACAGAATTACTTTTATATGGTTGTTAAGGATGCACAGTGTACACAGGTGTTTGCAGTCCTTACATGTCACTAAAATTTCACAACATAGGCCTAGTCCTCACTTAGAAATTCTAGGATGTCTGTCAGTTTTTTCTTCCTGATTGCTACTTGAACATTCTATGACACCTGATACTACAAGAGTCTCATCCTGAATGGCAGAAGATACCCTGTTCAACCTTCATAGATGTTTTAATTGTGGTGCCTGTAATGGCTAAACTATGAGGTGTTTGGTGTACAATGCAGTCCTTTTCGGGTAAGGATGAAGGTTGCTAGGCTACCAAGCCAGGTTTTAATAGTTACACAGTGTACACATTACTCACAAAACAGTAAACCCAACTATCAACTACTTAGTTTTAGTAGACAGTTTTATCATGTATATTTTGGTTTTGATTTTGCTACAGGAACTTCCAATGGGGCTGCTTGCACTCTGTGATGTGGCCCGAAGGCAGGAGAACAAAGTCAAGAACAGATATGGAAATATTGTTGCTTGTGAGTTTCTCTTTTGCTGAAAGTTTTATGTCACCATTATGTAATTTTATATTCTTTTGCTTCTTCATCTCCTTCTTCCACTCCTTCTTCATCTTCTTCTCCTCCTCCTCCTCCATCTAGGTCTCGTCCTGCTTCTTCTTCTTCTTCTTTTTCTCATTCTTCCTCCACCTCCTCCTTCCTTCCTTTCTGAGCCCTTGAAGTTTATTAGGAACCAAGTCTGCATACAAGTAAGCCAGATTTTTTGTAAAATGAATGTGCATGCAAAACTCAAGTTATAGAACAAGACCAAAGTCCATAAGTGGATGAATGACCAGAACTTTCTGCCAGTTTACAGCCGTGAAACACCAAGAAGAAGAAGAATATTGATGCATGTATCCCCTGCATCATTCATCTTTCTAGTTGGTCTTCTTTCCTCTGTCTTCTGTGTTCTCCTCTACATCCATTCATCTTGTTTGTGTACACTGTTTTTGTATATGTTTCAACTTGTTTTTGTATACTCTCTTATCTATGACTATTTGCCATAACAATTGCAGGCACCTCTTAATCCATTCTGTGCTATTTTCGTCTTTGAAAGGTCCAAAGATTTGTTCTTAGCCTGTTCTTAAAGGTTTGTAATAAGGCTTCTCTCTTTGTTGTACTTCAGGATTCAGAGTCACATAGGACAGTTATCCATGTTCCGTTTGGTGTGATCTTGATGTCACAAGATAGTGCATTTGATTTTAGCAGATATTTTCTTTTCTTTGTATGTCAGAACAGTTGAAATTTGTACCCAAGTATTTTCTTGTTTGTATGTCAGAACTGTTGAAGTTTGAACCTAAGTACGTGGCACGGTGAATTCAGTCACAGGCATGAGGCAAAGTTAAGTCTGATGTGTGGTGTATAAGGAGATACTCCGTACCCCACTCGAGCGCCAGTCCTTCACTGTTCTGGTTTTACGGAACCTCATGCAAGACTCCTGCTGCACGTCCCCGTCGTGCGCCACGAATAGTGTCTCAAATGAGCATTAACAGAGTTGGCAGGGGATCTCGGGGCTGGCGGCCCCTAGAGGTGTAGTGTCCTTTCTGGCTCTCACCAGCCCGCCCCCAAACGCATGGGTGAAAAGTCTAACAAAACTCAAGTATTGCTTGCTAAATGTACCATCAAATGACAACTATTGGTTAAAATTTGGAAGCGAATGGAAAACTGTGCTGCTGAGACTCAACCCTGACCGAGAGATTTACCCGCAGCCAAGACGAGTAACATCTCTTGTGGGCGACTTCTCGCAGCAAGATCCTACCTACGTACATCCTCAATCCTCAGTGTCGTCGTCACCGCGCTGAGGTACACCACGGCAGCAACTTTCATATGCTGGCTTGGAAATAATGTCCGACAAAGTTATACCCCACGGCACACATGCAAGCTCAAAGTCCGACTATCATAATTCGTACCGATTAGGAAAAAGTCTAAATGTCCGTATCCACTGGTCCAACTCGCCCGAGTGTTGGGACCAAACAGGTGAAGCCACGCCTGACGCATTTTGCTTCCCCATTCTGTCGTGCTAAGGGCACAGCTGAAACAACGTTAAAGGTGTCTAACGTAAGATGAAAAAGAATGTACCTATTTGTGTGGCCACAAACGTCCTAGACCGGCGGGCTGCTCCCCGCTGTTCTCCGGAGAGCGCAGCCTTGTAGCGCGGGAAGCTCAATACACAGTTGTGAGGTTAAGCAGTCATGGGCAGGACGTGACGATTCCTTGGGTGAGCCCAGAACCAGAGCATCATGTGTCTGCTCTGCATTTATGGAAGCCTCCTTGGATGGCGGGGAATGCCCATGATCTGCCCCTGCCTTCCCTTGAGGGCTGACATTTCTACATAGAGCTGCCTCAAGGACGACATTCCGGGGGCCACACATGTTAAAGGTCAAAGAGGACACCACACAAATGAGGCAACATCTCGACCCACACAAAACAATGGCCACAGTCAACCTAGAAATAGGCTTGACGTCTTCCCCCGAAGTCGGAGTACATCTGCCGGAGAGGCGGGGAACGAGAACTGCGAACAAATAAGCCAGTAAAACAGATGTACACGCAAAACTCAGGTCAATGTAAAAGCCAAAAGTCCATTTTGGACGAACAACCGCGACTTACCGCCGGAATTCACAGCCGGTGAACAAGAAGAAGAAGAAGAAGAACCTAAATACTTGTATGTTTTCAATCTTTATATGATTTTATATGACTGTCAGAGGCCAGTTCGGCTATGGGAAGGATGATAGTGAATCATCACGTTTGAACGAGTTGACCTTTAGTACAACTCAGTATGAGAGCGGACAGCTTGACCACGCAATAAACTGGGTAGGGTTAACGGGCCAGGTCTAGTTCACTCAGGTGACATGGATTACTGCGTGTCAAGCCGTGAACTTAGGCCGGAGACACAAAAGGCTTTGTCCGAGCTGGTTGAGGGAGAGTCGTGTGCTGGGACAGGACGAGACAAGACAGAAACATTTTGACTAGGTAACGTTAGGTTTAGTGACGGTTAGTTGTAATAGGATATTTGTATTTAGTATCGATGATAGGCTGTGTTTCTATTTAATGTTTCGACTAGATAGTATAGAGTTAATGTTCTTCGTGTAGTAGACATTCCATGCAGTATTTGTTTGAGCAGTTAATCAAGGTGTGACGCGCATTGTAATGGCGGTAACACTGCCCAGTCACGCTTACGTGTATTGCTGAGTCCCGTGTGGCAATTGACGGCGGCTTAATTAGCACTGAGAAACTGTCAGCTAAGAGTCGTGTTCCTGATAGATCCATGGGAACTCGCCTGGGTTAATTAGTGATTGTAAAGCTGTCATCGCCAAGGGAGTTTCGGATGGGAACTGCTTAGCTCAGTTGAAGTGTTTAATGTCGTCTTGTTCATTGTCCATTAAAGATTATGTTTGTACTCAGCAGAAGTATTGTCTTAAGTGTGTCTGGGTAGTTAAGTCTGTCAGTTGGCCTACCTAAGCGAGCCATATAAATTATAAAGAATAAATTAGGTCCCTGACAATGACAAAATGTAAAATGTCATACTGAATACTTTTGCTCCTTAATTAAATACATTGGTGGAGACCTTTTAAAAGAAGTAGATTATTAGGACTCTTTTGGACAATATCACCAAATAAATAAAAGTTAACGACCCCTTTTCACGCCTTCGGGTGCATTGGGCATATAGAGCTGGACCTATATTTTATAGACCAATCTGTACTGGGTGGGTGATGTGGTCAGCATCATGCCGGCCGCCTTTACTCCCCAGGACTTCACGTGGTGCCCACTCAAGGCCCGAAACTAAGGTCATTTTTGGAAAAAAAAAGTCAGGCTCCGTCAGGACCTGAACCTATGACCTTCCAATCTGCAGGCAAGTGTCTAACCACAACACCACAGCTGCTCCCACTTAATAAATAGATTTAAACTTGTTGAGAGCATGTATCTTTCCAGTAGCAGCTTCTGGTATGAGTTTTGCAATCATTAAGGAAGAAAATTTGAGCTAAGCAACTGAAATATTACAGAAATATTTCTTAGAATACTTTGGATCAGGAATAAGAAAAAATACTAACATTCTATGAGACCTGAACATTGAAACAGGAACAGAAACTCATAAACAGTATTGTGTCTCAGCAATTCAAATCCTTTGGCTGTGTTATATCCTACAGCGATTTTAAAAGACCATAAAGATCAGACAGGATTTATCGAAGAAGATACTGTACAAGGATTGATCAGTACTTGTACAAGGATTGATCAGTACTGTTTTCAGAAAATGATGGGAATGATGACATTTATGGCTTTATGTTTATAGCAAAGGCTGTGCTGTGCTGTTGTAATTCAATTTTTTTTCTCTCATTGTGATACAAGCCTAAAATTGGTTATTAAAAAGCAAATGAGCTTGCAGGGAACATCATGAAGCTCTATCTATCTGAGAGCTTTAAAGAGGCAAAGACACTCTTAAAGCAGTCTCTGAAGATGGACTAGTTAGTTAGTTGCACATCCTTTACAGGACGTTGCACAACCAATCCCAGCATTTTTTTGGGGGGCTGTCGTGGTTTTTCTAGGCACATTTTATGTTCAGTAGTTTGCCATTTCTTCTGAATGGTCCGCTCTCGGTACCACTTCGAAACCAATGCAAGATGGTCTGTTGCCAAATCGAATCCGATACCCAGCATTACGAAGTGCATTCACAGCACCTATGCCACAGATGCCGACATGAACTGGAGAGAAGAGAATAACAGGTTTTTAAAATTAGACTGTAAATAGGCAAGGCGCGAACAAGCAGACCAGAGAATTATACTGCCTCCCAATATTGGACGTAATGTTTTTTGTGTGGTTGTTTTAAACCCCACCTTGACTGTTGCTAGGGTACCCTAATAGAACCCAACTTATGGGTTGAACGGGGATTCCGAGACCTGCCCTGAGTGATGCTCATCTGAATGGTGGCACTTTGTGTCTCCGGGTTTTTATCGCTTGTTGTAATGTCCTGGTGGGTTGAACATCAATAAGTCAGGCAGGCCAGAATTTTCAGACTCAGAATGGAGCACTGTTAACTCAGAGCAACATGATCATTGATGGGGCCTCACTACTCTACCACATGTGGCTGTGGTATACCAAAGCAGACTCCAGAACATCTTATAGGATAATCCAGATGTCAGTCAGGGAAACAAAATCTGGCCTGAACAAGTGAACCTGTGAGAAAAATGGTGGACCGCCTGTGAAGGCCTCATGTGCACTGACTCCTTTTTGTCACCAGTGCAGAAATAGATGCATAGTAAATGATTACTGAAGAAAGAGTCTCAGTTTATTCTTTGTCCTCACAAAATGACACAGTATTGAATATATTCTGACATGTCTTGATATATTGTATTTGTGTTACAGATGACCATTCTCGAGTTATACTGGATCCTCTGCCCAATGAACCACACTCAGATTATGTCAATGCCAACTTTATGGATGTAAGTGCCTTATTTAAGAAATAGGATATTCCCCCTTTTCCTTTCCTCATATTAGTTATTGTGTCTCATTAAATAAACTCTTAGTTGTCTAAATTCCAGTCAGTAGTAATGTTAACACATCTGAATTGAATAATTTACAAAGAAGTTTTTATAAAATATAAAAAAGTGAAGACTTCAAATACTTTTTGAACTTAAGAGAATGGTGCGGTAGGGAGGGACTAGGAGATTGGCTAAAACTTGGCATTCAGAGGAAAGTAAAGACAAACATACAACCAGAATGGGTACTGATACTGTCAGAATTGGAACTCTGGGCTGGTTGCTGATGATGGGAGTGGAGGGCTTATGGAAATGTCTTGAGTGCTGCGATGCCAGTTCTTAACACATCCTAGAACAAGGCCATTCAACTGGAGGTCCTCTGGCCTAATCCGGCCTGCAGAGGCTTAACAAGGGGCCACGGATCATTCTCAATTGTACTGTGCTTATGTTCTTTATCAGCATCACTGGTTTTGGTGTTGTGAACGTAATCTGTAACTCCGGCGTGCTGAGTGCAATCCCAGCTGTGGGTGATTTATCAGCAGGTCATCTTGTGTTAGTTTCGACAGTCATACAGAGAATCGACTTGTCAGAAAGCAATGGCAAACTGCTGAATGTAAATTTGCCTAGAAAAACCACAACAGCCTGAGAATGCTGAGGCTGGTTCTGCCACATCCTATAAAGAATATACAACTAACTAGGATTTTCTTTCAATCCTGAAACTCAGGCTACTGGCCCATGATGATCCCCGTTTTATACATTTTGATACCTGAGTAAATTAGTTGAATAGCCCTGTTGAAGGGCATGAAGAAACATAGAAGAAAGTACTAGAAGGCAAAATATCTGGAAAGTGACAGGTATTGACCAGGGGTAGGCAAATAATGGCCCATGTGTCAATACTGGCCTGCAAGGCTGGTGTGAAATTATATAATCTGGCCTTTGAGCTCACAAAATAGCAGAACACAGAAACATACTTTCATATGCAGAAAGAAGATAATAGTCCAAATATCAGCATCCCAAAAAGTGATAACCTAAACAGTGATAATCAGAAAATGGTGTTGTCAAACACTTTATCCTGCTAGTGAAACAAGTGTTGCAGACAAACTCAGACATTAAGAGAAAGTGTCTGTTAGGGGACTTTGATAAAATAAAAGGCGATTACCATTCTTTTTCTCTGAACAGACACATTTAGGAATATAACAAAAGGCTTCAGTGAGTCAATGTGTCTGGCCAGAGGCCATCCAGGGATTGTTCTTCTTCTTTGTGTTCACCGGCTATAAACTCCAGCGGAAAGCTGTGGTTGTTTGTCCACCTCCGGACTTTAGTCTTGTTCCAGAAGCAGAGTGCTGCATGCACATCTGTTTCACAGAACTTGTGGTTCCATGCCTCTATGGCAGATGTACTCTGACTTTGAAGGATGTCCCCAGTTAGTCAACTCCTATGGCATGCTTGTTGGCTAAGCAGTGAGTCTGTCCCCCCCACCCACCACAATGGGTCCCAGGGACCCAGACAGTAATGTTAACACAAATGAATTCAATAATTTACCAAAAAGTTGTGAAAAAATATAAAACAGTGAAGACTTCAAATACTTTTTGATCTGAAGAGAATGATGCGGTAGGGAGGGGCTAGGAAATCTGGCTAAAACTTGGCATCCAGATTCTCCAAAAATATCAGGTTATGAAGAAATCTTGGTGTTTGTAATGGATGTTTTTTCTGTGTGGCCCACGACCAGGTTATAGTTGTAAATTTGCCCCGTGGACTAAAAAAAAAAAAAAAAAGGTTGCCCACCCTCAGTGTAGACAAGAAAAGCATTGAAATGTATGAGTGCAGGCATAACGGTTTTAAATTATGACAGAAGAGAGAACTAGGGAGTGGAATAGTCATGAAGCTTCGTGACCAGTCCTAGTGCTGAAAAGCTTGATGACATCTGTTCAGCTGTTGTCACCTGATTACAGACTGCTCTGTTTTATATTTTGACTGTATTGAAGAGCTGTTTAATTGGAAAACATACCTAGAATATTTATCTAGAACAGTTTTCCCAGCTCGTGGTCCTCGGAAAAGGTTGTAGGGGTCTGTGATGTCATTTAGGAAAAACCCTCAACATTTTTCTTTTCTCATAGGGTTTACTCTTTTTTTTTAAAATGACTATTAAAAAATTAGGGGAGTCTGTGATAGGACTTGAAAATCACTGATCTAGAAAATCTAAAAGAAAACTGTCTACCATAATCTAACATGAAGCCAGCAGACATTGATTTACTGTCTACCATAACCTAACATGAAGCCAGCACACATTGATTTACTGTCTACCAAAACCTAACATGAAGCCAGCACACATTGATTAACTGTCTACCATAACCTATCATAAAGCCAGCACACATTGATAAACTGTCTACCATAACCTAACATGAAGCCAGCACACATTGATTAACTGTCTACCAAAACCTAACATGAAGCTAGCACACATTGATTAACTGTCTACCATAACCTAACATAAATCCAGCACACATTGATTAACTGTCTACCATAACCTATCATGAAGCCAGCACACATTAATTAACCGGAATAGTTAAATTAAAAATTAAATTACAGTTTTATTTGGATTTATACAGTAGCGATTCATTATTATTCCTTTGCATTGTGAATGGGATGAGGAGGCTTTATTTATTCTTGCTAACATTACACTTATTTTGTTCTTTCTGAGCGACCCATAATTTCTTTTATGCATAAACATTTGTTCTCAGACTAAGGTGTTTCTTCTCTATATTTTTCAGGGATATTCCAGACCAAAGATGTACATTGCTTCTCAGGGTATGAACATTTTTTCTGTGAAATACAAAGAAAAAATACACCCCATAAACTAAACATTTTTTGTGTGTGAAATATAAAGAAATACACCCCCACAAACAAGTCCTAAATTAAACTATAGTAATGACAACAAAATAAGAAAAAAATTTAAGTAACTGTAAATAAAAGCACCTGAGATTATGAGAATTGTCACTGTGGTCTCACTATAGAAAAGAAGTAGTAAAAATAATAATTCGCACACAGAGGGTTAATATATCATCTTTCTGTGATAAAAAAATTTAGCAAGAATATCATTTAATTTTAATAATGACAAAGAAATAAAAGGTGCGTTGTTTGGTACTGACAGTTAAGCATTTGAGAAACAGAGAAAAGAGGAAATTAAAATTACACTTTCTCGATAGAAACAATTGGATTAATCACATGACAGATAATATTCCAAGTTGAATATGTTGATGCATTTGTATGATGTAGAAGGAGACAGAAGGGGAGAAAAAGGAAGAGAAGGTAAAGATAGTTGGTTAAAAATTGCACACACACCCAAAAAAAAAAAAAAAAAAATTTTTTTTTCAACTAGAAATGACATCATAATATGCAAATACAAAAATCTACTTAGGGAACAGTTGTGCTGCATCAGTGTAAATGCTTGACAATGTGTAATGAAATGGTGGGGGAAAGACTTTTTTTTAGAAGAGTAGTATGTATTCAAGGTATTTATTTTCAGATTAGGAAAAAAATTCTAAGCTGTCTTTATGTAGTGTGTATTCAAGGTATATATTTTCAGATTAGGAAAATAATTCTAAGCTGCCTTTATGTAGTGTGTATTCAAGGTATATATTTTCAGATTAGGAAAAGGACTCTAAGCTGCCTTTATGTAGTGTGTGTTCAAGGTATATATTTTCAGATTAGGAAGAGAATTCTAAGCTGTCTTTATGTAGTGTGTGTTCAAGGTATATATTTTCAGATTAGGAAAAGAATTCTTAGCTCTTTTTATGTAGTGTGTGTTCAAGGTATATATTTTCAAATTAGGAAAAGAATTCTAAGCTGCATTTATGTAGTGTGTGTTCAAGGTATATATTTTCAGATTAGGAAAAGAATTCTAAGCTGTCTTTATGTAGTGTGTGTTCAATGTATATATTTTCAGATTAGGAAAAGAATTATAAGCTGTCTTTATGTAGTGTGTGTTCAAGGTATATATTTTCAGATTAGGAAAAGAATTCTAAGCTGTCTTTATGTAGTATGTGTTCAAGGTATATATTTTCAGATTAGGAAGAGAATTCTAAGCTGTCTTTATGTAGTGTGTGTTCAAGGTATATATTTTCAGATTAGGAAGAGAATTCTAAGCTGTCTTTATGTAGTGTGTGTTCAAGGTATATATTTTCAGATTAGGAAAAGAATTCTTAGCTCTTTTTATGTAGTGTGTGTTCAGGGTATATATTTTCAGATTAGGAAAAGAATTCTAAGCTGCCTTTATGTAGTGTGTGTTCAATGTATATATTTTTGGATTAGGAAAAGAATTATAAGCTGTCTTTATGTAGTGTGTGTTCAAGGTATATATTTTCAGATTAGGAAAAGAATTCTAAGCTGTCTTTATGTAGTATGTGTTCAAGGTATATATTTTCAGATTAGGAAGATTATTCTAAGCTGTCTTTATGTAGTGTGTGTTCAAGGTATATATTTTCAGATTAGGAAAAGAATTCTAAGCTGCCTTTATGTAGTGTGTGTTCAATGTATATATTTTTAGATTAGGAAAAGAATTATAAGCTGTCTTTATGTAGTGTGTGTTCAAGGTATATATTTTCAGATTAGGAAAAGAATTCTAAGCTGTCTTTATGTAGTATGTGTTCAAGGTATATATTTTCAGATTAGGAAGAGAATTCTAAGCTGTCTTTATGTAGTGTGTGTTCAAGGTATATATTTTCAGATTAGGAAAAGAATTCTAAGCTGCATTTATGTAGTGTGTGTTCAAGGTATATATTTTCAGATTAGGAAAAGAATTCTAAGCTGTCTTTATGTAGTATGTGTTCAAGGTATATATTTTCAGATTAGGAAAAGGACTCTAAGCTGCCTTTATGTAGTATGTGTTGAAGGTATATATTTTCAGATTAGGAAGAGAATTCTAAGCTGTCTTTATGTAGTGTGTGTTCAAGGTATATATTTTCAGATTAGGAAGAGAATTCTGAGCTGTCTTTATGTAGTGTGTGTTCAAGGTATATATTTTCAGATTAGGAAAAGAATTTTAAGCTGCATTTATGTAGTGTGTGTTCAAGGTATATATTTGCTCTGCTTTTTAGCTAATCTACTAATTATATATTGTAGCTCTTACTCTGTATCCCCTTTATCTTGTAAATTCTGTTTGTAGCATGCTGTTTTTGGAGGTTGACATTTCATGATCAAATCATCTGATACTTTCTTATGCAGAATCAAGAGCTGTCACTCTTCATTAAACTGTTTGTTTGTGTGTTATTCATGTCTTAGCATTGATTAACTGACCATTTTGCTGTTTTTAAATTGAAGGTCCAAACAAAGTGATGATACGTGACTTCTGGAGAATGGTTTGGCAACAGAAAGTGTCCAAAATTGTCATGCTAACAAACCTTATGGAGGCTTGCAAGGTAATTGTGTGGATAGAGAGGCAATTTGAGACAATCCTGGTTCTATGAGAGGCATAGTAGTGTGCTGGCTAGACATATAAAGCTTGTGGTTCTGAGTTTAAATTATTTTAAGTTAGCACATGGCTTCAGGATTTACCTTAGGATTACCTCACCCTTCTTAAAATGAAACAGAGGGCCTCGTGTACAACGTCACTACATCCAGTATGAGAATGGAGGTGGAGGCAATAACAGCAGTTTTCTCGTGGCTTGAGAACAGTATAGTCCTACATATTGTGATTGGAACAGACTCACAGAGCGTGCTTCGGAAAATTGAAACTGGTTTGCATTACTTGATAATACCCAGATCAAGGAAATACCATGGATTTTCCATCCAGGACATTCGAGGTAACGAGCAGGCTAATAGACTAGCTGCTACCGCTGCTCTGGGCAGTAAGCTGCTGTATAATAAAGCAGATGTGGTGAAGGCTGTATGGGATGAAATGGACAGTACAAAAGAACAGATAGGGAATCCATACAGTGAAAGACTAATTCAACGGTGGGTGAGTAGAGGTTTGGGAGATATTCAACATTGAAGAGGAAATGCAGGCTTTTAGTATGGTTGTATCTGGTACTATTAGCACGTCAACTCTTTGTTTGTTACTGAAGAAGGGAATAGAGCACATGTGGGAATGTCCTGAATGTAGTGATGTCAATTCTTGATTCATTTGTTCATTTATTCACCCTCCTAAAATGGGTACCAGAAACATTTCTGGGAATATCAGTTGAAGTGTTCTGTGTTATCCCATGTTATACTGTGTCCTGTGTTATACCGTGTCCTGTGTTATACCGTGTCCTGTGTTATACCGTGCCCTGTATTATACCGTGCCCTGTGTTATACCGTGCCCTGTGTTATACCGTGCCCTGTGTTATACCGTGCCCTGTGTTATACCGTGCCCTGTGTTATGTGTTATACCGTGCCCTGTGTTATACCGTGCCCTGTGTTATACCCAGCCCTGTGTTATACCCAGCCCTGTGTTATACCGTGCCCTGTGTAATACCGTGCCCTGTGTTATACCGAGCCCTGTGTTATACCAAGCCCTGTGTTATATCCAGCCCTGTGTTATACCGTGCCCTGTGTAATACCGTGCCCTGTGTTATACCGAGCCCTGTGTTATACCGTGTCCTGTGTTATACAGTGCCCTGTGTTATATCCACTGCATCATTTACTGACAGCCAAGTTTACTGAAACTGTGGGCCTGTCATCATATCTTGAATATGCCACATTGCATAGAAATGGGATCTTCAGCTTAGCTACTTTGTTACATTAGCCTGCTTCATGAAATGATTACAAGGAAAGAGTTACAACCGAATGAAAAGTATATCACAGAGCTTCACAATATAACCAACACTTACAAAACATCAACATTGCGGCTATAGAGCCTTTGTCAGCACATATACAAATCAAACAACACCACACAGATACACAAATATCACTTAACTCACGTATCCAGATGCAGCCACATGTGAAGTATATCAGCGAGCTTCATAATGTAACAAACACATACAAAACCTACGTAAAATTTCACCATGAAATGATTACCAGTGATTGTTTTGGAAAGGTAAGATAACAACAAAGATAATAGATACATTACACTATTCTGACATTATTTGCCCCAGCATATCTTTACTGTTACTTTATTGCCGAGAAAAACAATATTCTGGTAAATAGTCACAAAAATCATGTACTTGGCAACATACAGATTAAAGGGGAAAAGCTAGAAGTTGAAACCGTTAAATATATTAGCTCTCACAAATCTAACAATGTCAACTGTACCAAAGAAATCAAGACAAAACTTGATATGGCAGCAGCTGAATATGATGTGGAAGAACAACATCAGCATCGCAGTTAAGGTCAATATTTACAAATCACTGGTACTGTCTATTTTCTTATACGGATGTGAGAGTTGGACTCTCACTGTGTAAATGGAAAGGAGGATTTAGGCTTTTGAATGTAAATGCTATAGACGCATTTTACGAATTAGTAATTTAGAACACAAAACTAATAATGAGGTCAGATACAAGCTAGCTTGGTTTGGGCACGTGGTGAGACACAATTTGATTGCAAAGACTGCTTCAAGGAACATTTGGGGTAATCGAAGAAGAGGAGGGCAAAGAAGAATCTGGAATGACAACATCAAGAAACGGACAGGACTAAGTTATCATACACTTATTCATCAAGCAGAAGACAATGATGATATGCTTGTGCTTCCATCAATGCACCTCCATGACCCTGACCAGTCGAGGGTTATATTATGTTTTCTTAACTGTTAATATTGAATGATAGTGCTACCTAAATAGTTTTATATTATGACTAATAAAAGCTATTATCTGTTAACATTTATTTCAGTTTTTATATATACATATATAGTTATATATGTATATTACTTTCAAGGGCGCCCCATGCTTTTATTAGTTTTAATATAAAAGTGTAGATGAATGAGGTAAAGAGAATAGTTTACACTTGTGTGTCCATCAAACCATATGTTGAATTATTTCTGTCTTTTTAGGGCATTAATTTTATGTTGCCTTTAAAAAAAAAGCTTATTTTATAAACAGTTTTTGAATTTGTTTTCATAATAATAACTAGTCTTTTTGAATGGGATACTGTAGACAGAATTGACAGAATTGATGTCTTGCTGGGTTCTAAAATATGATGTCATTTTTATAAACAACAGAAAAAGTGTGAGCAGTACTGGCCGGACGAGGGCAGTCAGAAATATGGAGACCTCACAGTACTGCTGGTGAACACCACCAAGTATACAGACTTTGTCATCAGGACTTTCGAGCTGATGAAGGTATTTTTCAAATGTTTGCCCTTTTCTTAGTATCCTTCTTGTGTGTTTTGTGTCCCGCAAGTCCTGATTATGACATCTTTGTTTTAAAACAAAAAGCAGTGCCAAACTACTCAATGAATGTCTTTACTGGGACTATCCTCAAAGCAAAGTAGCAAAACAAGCTACACAGTCACACAGGAGAAAATTATGTGATAACAGTAATTTAAAGCCTACTATAAAGTTTACAAAAGGTATTTGCGTATATTTTATTTTCAGTATGAGCAAAGATGATATTTCTATTCACTTGTATGTTTAACTGAACATTTCTCTTTGCAGAAAACCCTTCAGAGTTAAAGTTGCTATTGTTGTATAAAATGGCCTCCATCAGTTTCAAGTTTCTCACCGTATCTATGTTTCATAATTGCAGGAAATGGAAAACAGCAGAATTGTGAAGCAATTTCATTTCACCACCTGGTCAGACCACGGAGCTCCCACTTACCCAACTACATTGTTGTCTTTCAGAAGAAAGGTGTTGAACTTTAAGCCAGAGGACACTGCTCCTATACTCTCTCACTGCAGGTAGGAAGCCAGTAAAACCTGATTACATTTTTTTTAACAGACATATAAAAACAGCTAACCAATTTTTGTTTGCTGAAACATGATGTATTTGGCTGAAACATATGTGTTTAGCTGAAATCACCGATGTCCTTGCCCAGTTGTAAACCACAGCCCAACCTACAATCTCCCTTTTATGAGTCAGTTTCTAGTAAAATAATTCGTACAGCCTTTGCTGTGTTATCGACAACTTTGTTTGATCTTTTACAGTGCTGGCATAGGTCGTACTGGAACTTTCATAGCTCTCAACTACCTGCTGGAGCAGGCTGCAGCGGAGAATGTGGTAGATGTGCTCCGCTGTGCTCAACTGATGCGAGCAAACCGGGTGAACATGATTCAAACCCTGGTAAGTAACCACACTGTAGTATGTATCAGGGAGAAGGGAGAACATTAACAGAATGAGACCAATGCTTCCTAATGAGCAGAATTAACAAATTATTTGTAGTAGAATGCAAGCAAAAGTTTCTTTTAGGAATTGTATTACTGTTTCTTCGTGTGGGTTCCAGGGCCCTGTTATAGGGAAAACAAGAATAGACCCACTGCCTGTCCAAAAGCATGTCGTAAAAGTTGACTAATTGGGAGCTTCCTTCAAAGTCAGAGTGCATCTGCCTAAGTGGCAAGGAACAAGCAGTCTGCATACAAATGAGTCAGATCTGTAAAACAAATGCACACGCAACACTCAGGTTCTGGAACAGGACTGTAGTCCAGAAGTGGACGAACAACCAGAACTTTTCGCCAGAGTTTACAGCTGGTGAACACAAAGAAGAAGAAGAAGTATTACTGTTTTCTGTCTGATGTTAATTTTTTTTTTTTTTATTATTATAACAGTTAAGGTTTGCTCTACAACATCTTGGCTCCATAAATGACAAAATAAACTTCACCAAAAGTCAGAAGTAGACTGGCCATAGCAAAGCAGAGAATTAACAGCGTTTAAAGCATACAGCATAAAACCATCAGATTGTGTGGCAGAACTGAGTCTTGGATTAATTTGCAATCTCTGAAGAAGAAAATCATGCCATGGAAGATCAAGTGTGTCAGAATTTATTTAAAGTTCACGAATTGTTGAGGATAGACATAACTACCAACATCACACGGCGTGAAGAAAAGAGAAACAAATACATGTTTTGAATTTAATTTCAAGGAAAACTTTTTTGAACCATAGATTAAGATATTAAGCATCAGAGAAAACTGGTTAATCTTACTTACTTACTTACTTAGTCGCTCCTCTTCTACCTTGGGGTGTAGAGGTTTGCCAGAGAGATCGCCAGACGTCTCTATCAGCAGTTTTCTTTCTGGCTTTGTTCCATTCCAGTCCTCTGTCAGTCAGGGACTGTCGGATGTTGTCTTCCCAGCGCACCCTGGGTCGTCCCGGAGGTCTGGTTCCCTGGTTCTTAGCCTCCCATGCTTGCCATGGTGGCCGATTTTTCTCCCATTCTGCACACATGTCCAAACCATCGTAACTGTGACTGATCCACTCGGGTTAGTAAGGGCTGGGTATCAAGATCTTGACGTATTGTCTGATTGCGGACTTTGTCCCTTCTTGTCACTTGAACCACCTTTCTCAGGTATCTCATTTCCGAGGCCTGCAGCTGGCTTCTGTGAGCTGTTGTCATTGCCCATGACTCACACCCATAGGTCAGGACTGGTACATAGGTAGAGCGGTAAACAGCCATTTTCGTCCTCTTGCCAATTTCTCTTTTGCTAAGAAACCCTCGGTTTATGGCCTGGAAGAGTCTCCCAGCAGCTGCTTTTCGTGTAGCCAGCTCAGTCTTAATGCCTCCATTTTGGTCTAATACAACTCCAAGGTATTTGAACTGGTTAACCTGCTCCAACGCATACTGACCCATCATGATCTGGTGTTTCTTCTCCTCTCTTGAGATCACCATGGTTTTAGTTTTGGAGACACTGATGGTCATCCCTTTCTTTTCAAGCTCTTCCTTCCAGACAAGTAAGTTGTACTGAAGGTGTGCCTCTGATTTAGCTATCAGGGCCACATCGTCTGCAAAAGCCAGCTCTGATATACAGATTGGTCTCATCTTCCAGTACCCTACAGAGTACTTCTTTGTCTTCTCCTTACAGGTCTTGAAAACTGGTTAATAAAAAGTATTATTTCTTATACGCTGAAATACTTTGGCTGCATTATACGTTACAGTGACTTAAAAAGCTCACTGGAATGTATTCTTTCTTGGAAAAAAAAGGTACAGCTCTGACGTGGACACTGGAGAAAACAAAAGTACCTGCTACATGATGATGATGATATAGTCTCTTTTCATTGCATTTTTGATATGTACTTTTCAAGCTGACATTACTTGTTATATGTCATTTTCATAGAACGAATTCAGTCTAGTGTCTACATATATTTAGTTATCTTGACTCTTGAGGGTGTTCATTACTGCAAATTATGTTACAGGAGCAATATGTGTTTGTGTATGATGCTGTCTTGGAGGCCATCATGGCAGGCAACACCACCATACCTCGATCGAGCTTCCATAGCACATATGAAGAGATGTTGTCACATGAGGATGGTGAGAAATCAGCCATGGAGAAGCAACATGAGGTTTGTACTCTTATTTCTTTCCTTCTGATGGGAGTTGTTATTTCCTTTCCAAAATATGCTTGCAGATTAGCAGCAACAATCTTCTCCAACACCTTGCCAAGTGTATTTTATTTGGTGATAATCATGAAGGTGCTAAGTCGTGACATCTTTGTCTGGTTTTGAGAATGGGATCAAAAAGCTATGCACCCAGTCCTGGGTACTAATGCTGTTCTGATGCTCTGGCTGAAGCAATAGACCATCTCCCTCAAGTCTTCATCACTCATGTCCTTTATGTAGACGTACCTGACCCCATCTGGTCCATTTGAAGAGATCATATTCTTTTTTTTTTTTAAATTCATTCATGTGTTATTTAAGTGCAAGAAATTTTGTTTATGCTTTTCGTGCTTCATAAGCATGAACTGTTGCACTATATGTAGTTTATTAGAGGAAGCTACCAGTATGGGAGCCCATTGTGGGGAATACCAGTACAGACCCACTGCCTCTCTAACAAGCATGTCGTATGAGTTGACTAATTTAGGGCTTCTTTCAGAGTTGGAGTGCATCTGCCTGAGTGGCAAAAAACAACCAATTGCACACAAGTAAGCCCGTAAAATGGATGTACACGCAAGGCCCGGGCACAAAGCCAAAGTCAAGATGGACGAAAAACTAGGACTTTCCGCCAGAGCTTACAGCCGGTGAACAAAGAAGAAGAAGATCAGAGGAAGTTTCAATAAGCAGAAGATATTAAGGGTTGGTTTCTGTGCATGGCTATTTCCCATGATGAGACAATGCTATGTTATCACTTCCCGACATTAACAGCAGAGAAAACAGAAAATTGTGACAGTGGAGATAAATTATTTGTACAGTCATCATCATTAGTCATCATCAGTTTCACTAGTCTTCCACTTTTGTGGTTAAGCGTCGTGGGTGAGGAAGAGTTTTCTATCCATTATTTTGTGGTTAACACTGTGTATTGTCATTATGTGTTGATGTAGAATGTCTTTAATGCCAACAATCCATCTTCTCCATAGGCGCCCTTATCTGCAGTATGAATAATATAGGCAGTGTAGTAGAACATTGGATCGCACACTTGCCTGCTATCCTAGCGATATGTGTTTGATCCTCATCGGGGATTTTAAATATATTGACATGGGCTTCCAAGTCGATTCAGCTTTGGGTGGGTACTAGGAAATGCTCAGGGAAGGAAAGGCAGCTGCTGTAATATTGAGCACACAACAGAGTGCTTATTGCCATTAAAAAATATGGGAATACACTCAGCTACATGAGTATAGAAAAGGCACAAGAAGAGTTTACAGTTGTTTATCTTAGCATGTGAGGAGGAGCGGCTGGCTGAGGGGTTAGAGTGCTGGGCTCTAATGCAGGAGGTCAAGATCTGATCCTTGGTAAGGATTAGGGATTTTGTTGTTGAAATGTCAGCAGAAATAAAAATCCTTACCTGCACAGATCAAGGTGACTTGTTCAGCTGTGCTACTCTCAAGTGTGTGGTGGGCTACTTTGTGATATTGCTGACATGGTGAAGGCTGTCTGTCTTGGATTAATGAAAGTGCAATATAATGGACAGAGTACCCATACCTTGACTGCCTAATTCAGCGGGTGGTGAGCAGAGGTTCTGGAAGATATTCAGCACTGAGGGGGAAATGATGGACTTTCAATCAGGTTACATGCAGTGATACAAGAATACATCATCATCATCATG